AAAAAAAAAAAAAAAAAAAAAAAAAAAAAACAATGGGGAAACTGAACAGTAACCAGAAAAGCCAGTTCTCAAATTGTTGGTTTCTGCTAAAAGAACGTCCACTGCTTGAATCCAGTGCTTGGATTCTCTACTGCATGACTTTGTGACATTTCCCTTTAAATCTCATTTTGCAACTTTAATACTCCTCTTTTTTTGGAGGAAGAAAGGCTCCAGGTCCCATTTTAAAGCCACTACAATCTATCTATTGCATGCAGAGAAGGAAAGAGCTGGATTGATGGTCCCATGGCAGACGTGAGCTCTATTTCTGGCTCAGCTTCTAATTAGCTGTGGTCCCCAGCAATTCCCTCAGCCATTTCTGGACCTCAGTGTCCTCATCACTAAAATAAGGAGTTGAAATAGAAACCAATATCTCCTAAATGTATTCAGTTCAAAACACCTTCTGCTGGAATCATTGCATCTTCACCATTAAAGAATAAACCTACAAACACTACATTTTGTCTGATTTCGTGAAGTTGATGAATTCCTTGAAGTGCAAGCATGGACCCTCATCCCTGGATTTGAGACCAAGAACCTATAATCTAGGCTGACCTTAAGGTCAGCATAAGTTTTAAAAGTTCTAACAAATTATAGGAAAGACTATCACACATATTTTTAAAAAATTATCCTTTTAGGTTCAATAAAAAATTTAAAATTAAATATAAAACGTATCATTCTACTTTATGTGCAAGCAATCTCATCCTCCTTATGCCTACAATATATCATTTAATTTATCTTGGTTTTAGATCTTTGAAATAATATCTTAAATTAAAAGTAGTTTATAGGCACAACAGGTGGGGGTAGACAAAGGGAAAGAGACAAATATCTTATTAGGGTGTTTAGGGTGACTCAGTCAGAAATTGTTTGCTTATTTATTTTGAAACAAATGTCACTAGTGTGGGTAGATAATAATATATCGAAAAGATGAAAATAGGGATTTAGGATTTGTTGGTAATTTTAAAAATGTAATCAGCTTCAGGTTCAAAAACAGATTTACATCATTGCAGTGTATGTCTGTGCATGTGTGCGCGCGCACGCGCGCATGTGTGTGTGTGTTATATGGGTCTCTTATTAACTCAGGATACACTTTGAATTCCTTTGAATTATTGAATCATAAAATTCTATACCTCAGAAATAATATAATTCATTTTAATTCAAAGCCCAAAATTTTCAGTTGAGGATGCCAAGATCCAAAGAAGTTGAGTGACTTGACCTGGTGAGTGGCGGACTTTGAAAATCACTTTAATTTGATGATTATTAGTAACTTATGTTAGCAATATGCTTATTGAAGACAATAATAGAATAGATGTGTTGCTTCTTCACCCTTAGACTGCAAATAATGCATTTATTGGTGATTTTTATGTGTGACGAAGAGATAGTCTGGATATGATAAGCTATGTTTCCACACATTAGAGACTAGAACACCATCTTCTTTATTTTTTTATAAAGACCTCTTTCCTCCTCATTCATAAGTGGGCTGCAAGTGGAAAGTACGTATAAATGATTTTCATTATTAAAGTAGCTAGATATCTGTAAGTCAGGTCCAGAGAGTGGTTTCCACCCAGAACAGAGGGGGTGAGAAAAGGGAGGGGCAATGGCAGTGGGTGGGTTGGGCAGGGAGAAGGTCGCTGGTGGAGGGAGAAGCAACCATGCCCCTGACGTCTTTTATGGAGCCCTGTAGTCTATAAGTACCACTTTCCTCAAGGGGCTCTGGAGAATGTTTCTCTGAGGACTTCAAAGGAGGTGGGTAGGGAAGAAAGAATGACCCAGGAAATGGGGAGGGAACAAAGTTGGAAGAAAATAAAACACACATGTCTCACAGAGGGAGAAAATATATCAGAGACAGACATTTTAAGGATTAGATTGACCAGCAGAGCTGGATGGTAAGTATACATTTTGGAGGGTTGCGTGTGATACTGATGTCTCACCAAGTAATATCACGGTTGCATATTAACATAAGCATTCATTTGGGAAACAAGAAATAGCCAATACCAACTTTTCCTTTTAGGTACTGGTATGCAACTTGTCAGACACTACTTAAGTTTTTGGTGGACCTCCACCTAGACCATTCATTTCAAGAGGGCAGAAACTATTTCTTATCTGCCCTAATATCCTCTAATATCCAATGTGGTGCCCATCATGTTATGTGCCTGAAAGAAATGCTGTGGACTGGTCGTTAATTTTCAATAGCTACTTAACATGATTTATAATGAATATTTTTTACTATCTTCATTGTAATTTTCTATATTGCTTGAGTTTTTATAATTGTAAAATTAAATATAATTAAACATTTTGTAATTGCAAAAAAGCAGTAATTTTTCTTAAAAAATTGTACTTCTCCAAATCCACTGAATACATGAAAACAGAAAAAATAAAAGAATGAGCTAGCAAGTAATGACTACATGTAAAATTAGAGGAAATTAAACTATTTTTTTCATAAATTAAAGTTCATATAACTCACATAAAGTTCAGAGGTCTAGAATGTCAAATACAGAGATGGTAAAATTGTCCTTCATGTCTAGTGTTAATGTATATTCTTTGCTCATGCCATTGTGGTCTTTAATTTTTAAAAAATGTAGATTATATCTATGTGTAACATAGTCAATCTGTATTAATTTCACTGAACTGTTAATGTTACACTCAACACAGTACACAAAATCATCCTATTTTACAAACATTAGAAATGAATCCTAAACATGTAAATGATTATTATAAGACAAACTAGCCATTAAAAAAACGCAATGGATATGTGTGCATAGAATGTGGCTTTTATGAGCATAAAGAAATCTTTTTTAAGGTGCTTTTCACGATGTGGTGGTCCTGTGTTGTCTGTTGGTCCTTCTGTCAATGCATATGAGTCACCATCCAAATCTCAGAACTGGGCACAGTAATTCTCCAGCTGTAGCACCGAAGACCATGTCTATATCATGCCAAAGGTCTTTGACAGAAGGTGTTAAGTAGGACTGCTTTATTTTCAGATTTCCTATGC